CCGACACTCGGCATCGTGATCAGCAACTGTGGTTGTAGCATTGATATAGATTTTTGGAGCAAGCTTAGCAAGAAATGAGATCCTGATTGTAAAAATCCAGAGTACAAGGCGACAGTTCATTTTTGCAAGTGCTGGGCACCACTTGACCTTAGCCAAAAGATACTGGCTGCTTCACTTAATTTGACAATAACATAGCGCTAAATGTGCTAGTAGATTCAGTTTCTTCTTTCATCATACCTAACGGCGTGACCAGAGAACACACCGATTCATCTCAGGGGAGCCGTGGCACAAAGGGCGGAGATTATTGGCAGAAAATCGCAACTGGCGTGCTGGCGTGAGACTGACAAACTCGTGTGCTTGTTAACTTACTCTGGGAATCAGTATGTGAACCCTGGGAATCTCAGAAGCATTTCTCGGAGCCATTTTTACCCTAGGAAATGCTGTTTAGCTCCTGGAGTTATTTCTAATCTCTAGGAAAACGAGATCTACCCCTGGGATCTTCGCCTTACATTCCTGACTGAATACGGAACTGGCTCTGGGAATACATTGGCTTGACCTGGGAGCTGTGGAGCCCCTGGGAGCTTACTTTAGGGTCCTAGAGTCACTATCTTGCCTTCCGAGATCGCCGAAAGCCCTCACAAAACACCCTCACCGGACCTGCGCAAAATTCTGCGTCATTCGGTCACTCCTAGAGGGCCAAATTATAGCCCCAGGAATCAAAAAAATCGTCAACAGGAACGCGGCTTTGATTCCCCGAGGTGGGGATACCAGACCCCAGAAGCTACATCGGGTTTCCTGGGGGCTACGTGGCTCCTAGAAGCTGCTTCTTTGCTCCCAGAAACGTTTCAGATGTCCCTGGGAGCAAGAGAACTCCCAGGGCCAAGGCTTGTGCTCCTAGCACTGATAGAAACGTTAACAGGAGCGTGACCGGTTTCGTGATGGTGATGATGGGATGTTCAGACGAGCGCTGTGTTACACTGAGAGTCCAAAAGCCTCATGGTGGCCACGTGCGGCCGGTCTAGATATACTCGCTTGATAATCGAATTTTTGACTCCGAGAAACTTGTTGATGGGTCAGCGGCTATTGTAGCAGCTCAACTGCAGCTGTAAAGACAAATCCCAAAGCAAATTTGTGTTACACCGCTAGCTTCAATGACACTGGATTTCACCCCTTCGTAGCACGATTTGCCACTGTACGTCCTTCGAAGTGAAAGCTGAGGGGTCAAAAAGACAAAACTGAATCAGAGCGGATTGCACTATGATGGTTATGACAGCAAGAAAATTGATGAGATGACTCGATGCCTCATTATTCTGTGAATGTTGAACATCGGCTAACTTCGACCCTGCACGGTCATCAGATAGAAGCTATATACCGATTGTACAGGCATATCTGGATGACGCTCGTTAATAATACGATTCAAGGCGTTGATTTAGCCCCCAGAGCTCCCACTACTAACTCCCAGGGAGACTTCACGGAAAATGAGGAGGACATCCCTCGTTATGTATATAACCATCCAATTTCCCATTTTTTTAATTATATATCATCAAAAGCTCTCAATCTTTCTCTTATGTTTGAGGCATTGTTTATAGCAAGAAACATGACCTCAGGAACTTTGGAAGAGGCAGAACCCAGCACAAGACACGGTATGCATACCCCGACAAGTTAGAATATTCCATCCTGGCCTGACATTGAGAAGATTGGAGAAGCGCAGAGTTGCTTTGGGATCTCAAGGATTCCTGGTCCTCCTTCTTCGCCAATTTGAGGGACGCGTATCGACTAATCAAATTGACACGCAAATCTCTGCTCTCACCCGCGGTAATTTCCCAGCGTCCAAAAAATATCGACGGGGTTAAAGCTGCGGTGAAAACCTTCCGTCTTGATTCCAAAAGAGGAACATTAAGCACCGAAGGAGCACAGCACACGACGCAAGATTGTATATGGTCGCTATGCTGAAGTAATGAATTACGTTGAGCGTTGGTCAGGTGAGGGATCTAAGATAGACTTGGATGAAACTATCGAAGTTGCTGACTTTGTGAAGATTATCAATTTCCTGTCACGGCTCGGCAAGAGAAATGAGTTGTCCAGATGGAAAAACGAAAGAGGAAGGAAGCTCTCCTCTCTGAGCGAAGGATAGATTGGGCGTCGTGCGATTATTTCGCCGCTGCCACGAATGCACTAAGGAAGCTTATTGATGCTTTCGCCAATGGTGGGAGCTTTCAACGATGGAAGAGGACTGATTGCAGGTTGTGTTCAGGCAAAAACTGGATGAGGATGTATTGCACGAAGCCGTCAATTCTGAATAGCAGATAGTAGCATATCGAATTTTCTTGGTCCCGATAATCTAGCCCATAGCGAGTTGGATGGATTTGATGGCAAGCTAGGGATTTAATAGATCGTTGTCTCACGATGAGAATTTTCATAGCTTGCTCACACTAGTATAATTTCTCCGAATTTTAGGATTGACAACGGCGCAGCAAAAGCACCGATGACTGGATCGTCAGAGTGGACAGTCGATTTTGAAAAATTCTCGGAGGAACGAAAGACCTATTTCGACATTATGCGTCATTGATATATTTATTTGGAGGGCATTCCTACAGGTATTACGTGATCATACAGTATCTCCGTTCATCTTGTATGCTTCATGTATTATCCTGCCACAGTTCCTCAGGGAATACGAAATAGGTCTAGGAACGCATTCGCTGCATCTGGGATCTGTTTCACCTATTTCTGGGCCCTAGAATTAATCTTCTGGCCTCCCTGGCTCGAATTAATATTTCACAAGACACCTTTACCGGACCTACGCACAAGTCTAAGCCATCATTTAATGGTCTCAAGTTCCATCTCTGCCTTTTATTCCCCAGAAACCCTGTCAAGAACCTTGCGAGTTATCGAACTCACAAGATTCTACGCTTCTCTGAACCATACAATTCCCAGGGGCGAAATTCGTGGAATATGTATATGGATACATTACAAACATGCGGTTACTGTCAACTCCCTGGACATCCCTCCCCTACGGTGGTAATTGATTTTTCGAGGCAAATAGGCCGATTAAATTCTCAGGTAGGCCGGTCGGCTCCCGCAAAAGTCCTCTACATACCGTCATTTGCCCTCAAACCATGGGTACAAAACACAGTTGGCAATGGACGACAACTGCTGTCATTTTTGCTTGGAGGCTCTTGTCATACTATTTTTGTTGGTATCACCAGCTAGGTACTGTGTACACAGTTAAGTGGACAGTGGTTATGCTTCCAAAGCAAAAGTCAATTTGATTCATGTAGATAGATGTTCTTTTTAGGTCAAGGCCCAATACCCCTGAATCCATACGGCGGGAGCCGTTGCTTAGCAAGATTACGTACAACCTGTCTTTGCTTATTCTGACGGGAGTATATGTCCCGACAATTTTAATGAGCACCTCGACCCAGCACTTGATGCTGAAATGCCTCACTCATCTTAAGCTTCACAGGTCAGGATCTGGACGACTTAAAACTACATTGCCGGGTCAAGTCTCCTTAGAATGGACAGGCGCCATAAGGATGTGTAAAACTTGGTCTGAAGAGCGCATGCGGGCAGGCCTGATTTTTGATTAACTTACAATGTCATCCTCAATTATATGCTACTTTGAAAAGGGAACTTGAAAGCAAACTCAACCTGTCAGGAAAATGGTGATCAGCATCGTATTGAGCCAAACGGTTTCTCCGGGATTCTAGAGGATTCGATACCAGGTATTCTCGAGGGTATTTTAACCCCCTCGATCCCAGTAAATAGGGGAAGGGAATCAACACTCTTTTGATCTCATCATTTGGGTAGTTCCCCTTTTTGATTCTGTTGCGCCAATCGCCTAGTACATCCATTGTATTTCCCTAGCTATACAGGATATTCCTGTCATAATTTAAGTAGTTTGGGGCAGATTGGCGGATACTCCTAGTGCCACCAACTGGCTCTCGTCTGTGCTTCAAGTTAGGCCGCCACTTGGAGCTAAGCTCGGCACGTTCAACAAATAGCTGCGTGCTTCTTCTATTGACAAGTTGTCAGCAAGTGGGTCTAGTTTGGGACCATCAAGCCATCATTCGCCCCACAACCCCTCTTTCTCACCGCCATGAAAAGCTTGCTAAAGCTTAGCATCAAGTTTATTCCGAAAGTCTTGTAGCATGTGTATGATGGTTGTATTGTTAGTAGAGTTATGTGGGTCACGACCCAGTATTATAGATACAGGTCTAACCCTAATGCATGAGTAGTGCGTATCAGGGTGACAGGATGACACCATCAGTACAGGGGATCCAAGAGAAACCATCTTGCGGGTGTGTGCGAAACTGTATTTGATCAAGCAAGCTAAATCAGTAATGGCTACTTCTAGGTGACTTCAGTCTATTGAGCCACGCATTAGGGTTTAGTTTTGGAGTTTTCACAGCAATGAAACAAACTGGGTGCTCCCTGGCTATTTATTAAGTTACAGGTGATGGGTTTCTACAATGCGAATCGTGTTGCCGACATAGCCGAGTACAAAGTGCGCGCTAACCTGTACTTGAAAACGTGGCGTGACTTGCAAAGTGAATGGAGCGGGAAGCCATATTCTAACATGTGGATTTCAAAGCAAATATGGAATCCACCGAAAGGTCAAAATCTATTACGTGCTACTGTGCCGGGATGGCAACTTCTTGGAGTCATGGCGCCGCAAATTGCGAAAGGAAAAACGTGGAGGCAGTCGAAATTCTGATTCGCTTTCCCTACTCTAACCAACAACAATCTGCACGAAGATACAAAGAGAAAGGATACTAATTTAAGCTTTACTGCTACACATTTCGATTCTAGCCTCGAAGCGCGTTTGTGAACCTGTATATGATACTGAGTCTTGGCGAAAATGATTGTTACAAGGTAAAGGCAAATTTCGAAACCTATAGCTGAGACCCAACGGTAATTTTTTTGAGAATATAAATATGGTGCTTGTGGCCGCCTTTCACACAACCACATACTTCAGTTGGTCGGAGTAGTCGTCTAAGAAGATGTCATCTTCATGCCTGGTCCATGTCTTAGGATTCATCTTTGCCTTATGCGCACTTGGGGCACAAGCTGTACCCCCACCTCTCCCAAAAGGTCTACCAAATCGAGTGTTCTCTATCCTAGACTTGGTTGGCCAGGATCCAGATATCATTGAGTTTGGTAACATTACCTATCAACACTCCTTACCGGAACCAGACAAGTTGAGCTTTTACATTGAAGATGGAGTAAAATTCTACAACTACTCTGAAGGAATTAAGCCCCCTTCCGGGTTTTGGGAGGAGCGCGGAGCTGCTGAGGATACCCAGACTGAGAATAGCGATCGGTAAGCTTTCGCCTCTTGACGGCGAGAAGAGCTGACTGACATGTTGGTGTAAATGCAATAGTTCTCGCCCTGAAACTCGAAGCTTTGCATGGATCAATTGTCCTAACCTTTGTCAATGTGGACAGGAAACCTCTTATACCTGGGAAACCGTGAACTATCAGGTGGTCTCAGGCAACATACATCAAGTTTCAGATCCCCTCTGTCCTCCTGGAAGTATTGGGAAGTCATACACCTATTCTTACTCGTACTCTATCTCAATCCAAGAAGGCCCAGACTTGGTTAGTCTATCCTCTGCTGGTACTATGGTGCAGAGCGCAGGGACTTACAGCAGTATAGAAAATACCTGTTGATTATCTCGACAAACTTGGCATAAGGGCCATGTTCACCTATACGTGGGGGTACGTATATGGAGCTCTGTCAGATACTGTCTAACTAATCAGTCCAAACAGCCACGCTACGGCAACATCTTACACTGTTACCTACAGCGATAATAACCAGCTACATCCTTTTATTGAGACTTTTCGACCTAACATTTTTGTTGCAAATGGAGTAGCTAGAGTAAGTTTCCGTTTCTTGATCTAATCCTGGAGACCTTCAGCCTAATTTCTCGCAAAGGTGATTAAGAAGACGAAAGACGGACGTATTTGTAGCACAAGTGAGCCCAGTTATATGAACATCCATCTCCCGTTGGTTCAGGGAGAGAACAACGATTGCCAAGATGCAAGCTCATCATGTGGTGCCGCTGGTACGTTGTCCACCCACTTTTACTTTGATCACAAATCATCTCTATCAGCCAAAAATGAATAAGGCGGGCGCTAAATACGAGTCATTAGGTGTCTATGACTCTTGCTTTTACGTTGGGGATTATGCCGCCCTGCTGTGCCCTGGTCGACAGTTGGGCCCGACACCCAATGACCGTGAATGCCCAAGCTATCTGTATCCTAGCCCTTACAACAACTAGACCACGAAATGGGGCGGATCCAGATCCACATTTTAGACCCAGATCCTGAATGCAAGATGGTCAAGGCTATTGTCGGGATATATCCTTCGGTCAGAACAAGCTTGCGGTAACTCACCGCTAGCGACCGGGAGATAACATCCCTTGCTTGGTATACGCATTCTTGTGTGAGCTGCAGCTCGGGTGTTGTGACCACCGAGTGTCGGCGCATGGCCATAAGGGGTATCTTGGAACCTGAGCTGAGAAGATATATACATCTACTACATGAATAAATCGACCTTGCTTGGGAGCATAAGCTGTTCACTCAAAATGAGGTAGGATCTCAATCATAAAGATCATGTTTCAATGGATCTAGAGCTGAACAAAATTCCAGAAGCCAAGGAGACGCTCCCAGGAATACGAAAATCCTCAGTGCTTGTGACGGTTCATGGATGCTTCGGTTTACCACTATGCCATCTGGCCAAAAAGGCACAATGTTTGGTCAGCGAACAAACACCCAAGCTACTATATATGCTCGATCTCTGACAAACTGGACTGAAGGTCCCAGGAATAATTTTGGTTTCTCGAGAATATGAAGGGCCCGAAGAGCTAAGTTGGGGCTGTCAAGGATATACATGAAGCATACGGAACGGATTGAGATATGATCCGCGCGGGACCCACATGGTGTACATGGGTTCCCCTGAACGCGAGGAAGCTGTTGAAATTCAGGATGTACAACCCAAGACGGCATGAATTTGACCTATTCTAGAGAGAAAGAGACCAGACTTAAACACCTCTCTGGAATAGACTGTTTGCATACTTTATTCATCCTCCATCATTAGACATTCTAAATTACAACACATTGACATACACTTCTTGCCAAGAGAACCTCCATAGTCAGATATTGTTGAAAATATCTGACTATGGAGGTTCTCTTGGCAAGAAGTGTTGTCATTGAAATGAGGTGTTTTAATTCTAACTCCCTAAAGAGGTACTTCTACAGCTATTTGTAATAGTAAAAATACAATAAGCGAGAGTGCGACGGACCTGCAAGAGTTCCATGGTACAAAACATCTAATAAGCCCTATATGGTCGTTGCGCATGAATTCAGAGATGTTGAGGCCTCAGGCTCACTGAGCCAATATCTCAACAGACATTTCAAAATTATTGAGGGTATATATTTCAACCAGACACTACTTTCCGTTTCGTTTAACGCCTCAGAAATCCGACAAATGGAATATTGTAGAACCTTCAGTCACCAAAAAAAGAAGCTGAAAAAGATAACAAAACAAAAAAAAAAATGCGTGTCTTCATTCATGGTCGCAAGTTTGGAAATTGAGTGTTGACAACGCGTGGCCAAGCTTCAACGGGTTGACGGGTCGAATGACCTCGCTTTCTGCAGTCTAGACGGACAGACTCATAGCTCTACACAACCAACACCACACTAAAGCGAGGTTAAGAAAAAGAAATACATACTTATCGGGACGAAATTGTAGGCGCTTTTCGGTAATTCAACGTTGAGTCACTCACAGGTGAGGTATCAGAACAAGAAATATGAGCCTGCCATTGCGGATTGAATAGTACTCAGTGCCTGAATTTTAGAGAGCCGTGAAAGATTCAACAGTCAGCCAACGTTTCTTGACCAACTCAGCATCCTTTTTCTCAACACCGCTTTTACTCTCTCTCTCGCTGAGCATCTCAAGGCATCAAGGATGTCGCTGCAAATATTGCGGCAAAAAGAAAACATGAAAGTGACCTCAATTAGGACAGGTACCAAGCTTGTAAGTCACAGAAGCCGATAAGCCTATAAATACGTCCTCTACCCCGGCAATTTGCTCTACAATTTATTCTCCTGACTCTGCAAATTCGAGAGGGCTTGGGTCTGAGCCACTGAGAAGTACTTCCCCATTGATCCCATACTGAAATTGCCACTGTACTGACATTTATTGAATACGTGGTGGATTAGCAAGCCATACAGTGCTTGTGAGAGATACAGGTATGATTCCCACCAGATGCACTGCTATCCACACTAGCCGATTAAAGATGTCTATGCGAAGATGCCTCCGTCACAGCAGCCGACTGAGCTGATCTACTGTACAGCCTCTGTGTATTCCCAAGAGAAAGCGCGAATACCCGCGTCGCAGTTATGTGAATCTTAGCCTGACCTGTCTGGATTCTACTGATCCTGAAGTCGATGCGATTTAAATATAACCGAGGAAATTCGACAACAAGGCACGAGCGCAAGGGCCACAGCTTTTTGCCGTCTCTTCGTCCCTAGTTTTGGCCACCAGAACATGTGAGTCATGCACTATCTCGCCGATCTGAAAGCTAATGAATGACAGTGAACCAAGGACATCGCATTAGAGTGCCCCCGAGGCTACCACACTCCTGTTAGTGCTCTGCACAAGCCATGGCCTACACATCTTTCCTGGTCCCGTCGCTTAAGACTAGCCAGCATACCTTAGATGAGTAATATCAATAACAGGTATGGACATTCGATTGCGAGCTTGACTGCAAGGAAGTCCATTCATCCTGGTAGTGTGAGTGATTTGTCGCGCCCTCTGCTGTGCTATATCAGTTGTTCGCGCAAATTTTTGTGCTCCAAAACACGGACACTGCTGATTTTCATGCTATTGGAATTAGGAGCAGCCCATCCCAATGTGAAACATCGCTGTTGGGAGTTCTATCGCCGCATCGGAGATAAGACCAAGGCGTCACTACGACGCGTGATCCATCGCGTCTTCCGCGGCAATGCCCGTAGCCTCACGTGATATTTACACCAACATTACGCCTCTTCCTCCTACAACTGCCCCACGGGAGTCAGTTGCTTGCCTCTGCGGGTAGCTCGTCATCTCTCACGCAGTCAAGTCTTGATTTTGAGTATCACATCCTTTCTCTACGGCTATAGCACCGATAAGCCTTGACTATATTGCTCTCCGCCATGACGTTCGGCCAATCTAGCAGTGTCACGCCTGCCACACTCGACTCCGCTTGGCCTCCGGCCCACATTTGGGAAACCATGGGCGCGGCAGACCGTGCCAGTTGGCTAGGACAGATACAGAGAGACAGGGCCAGGCGCCTTGAAATGGATGTAGCGGAGACTGACCTCCGCCGCAAGGCCTCGTGTGGACCTGCAAAATGACGATAATCTCGAAGAAAACCGTCAGCCACTTGCCGAAGTCAAACCACCCATCGACATATTTCCGGGTGTCTCCGCCGCCCTCCTTACTCGCGTCTTTGAGAGGAAGTTGAAGGCGACTGAACTCATACGCTTCAAAGAGGAGTCAGTCACCGAGCTAGACCAGGAGGACAGAGTCTTCACGATGACCGAGTTGGGAGGCACAGTAGGCTTCAAGAAGGCAGCAGCGTCGCTTAAGGACTGGGCCCCCAACCCTCAAATATGGACGACCTGCTTTCTTGCCTATCTGGCCGTTGTAGGATATCTCTTCGGCGAAAAACATCCTAAAGCAGTTCCCAATCTACTCATTTTTATGAGGCAGATCCTGGACTTCGCTCAGACTTATCAGTGGTCGGAAGCGGTCCGCTCACTTGCCCTTGATTTCCACCAATACATAATGGATGAAGGAGAGTTATCGACGGACAACTACCTGATCACAGGACCATTTCGCGAGAAATACCTCAGCCACAATCTCACCCTGTCTGCGAAGTCACCAACAAACCCTCCAACCTGGCCTCGTCAAGCTAGGAATACCAGATCTTCGAATAATGAGACAGAAGTTTGCGATAAGTTCAATACGACAGGGTGCTCCTGGGAAGGCTGTAAGAGACGTCATGAGTGTACGGCATGCGGCCTAAGCGAGCATGGCGCCTCCTCCTGCCGGAAGGAAAAATAGCAAGTGACAGCCCTTGAGAACTGCACTAGTGACACCGACAACGTTGTTCTCAATCCCCTATCCCTAAATCTCGTACCACAGGGGCAACCACCCAGACCAAACACTGCTGTTCAATACCCCGTTTTCAACCCCGAGCTCCCAAGGCTACAGTTCTCTCCGTCGCCACTGCATGCGCAAGGCTGGAGCAATCTTCTACGCTACTATCCGGGCGAT